GGGTGAGGGGCTGAGGGCTGAAGCTCCCAACCGCTCCTTTTTTTCTTTTTTTTTTTATTCTGGGCCAGCTTTAGCTCTGGCTCCAGCTCTGAGGCCTCTGCTGCTGAAAGCAGGTATCTGGTTTGTTTGGGTTCTATAATCGAAACTATGTATAACTCCAGCTCTGAGATCCCAGCGGGCTGAAAGCAGGTTTCTGGGGTTTTGTTTAGCTTCTATATTTGTAACAATGTTTCAAACTGCAGGCTCAGAGGCCGGCAAGGCAGGCGGGGAACATTGGTTTCCTCCATCACTGAAGCAAGCAAGCCTCATGTTACTTTCAAGCTGCCTGGTTGCGGCCGCCATCTTGGCTGGCAGTTAATTTGCATATCGCCCTGATTAGCCAATGGGAAGGGTAGCAGTTGTACGCTAATTACCATGTTTCTCTTTTATTAGATAGGATATGCATATATATATATATATATATATATATATATACACACACATATGTATACATGTATATATATAGTTATATACATATATATAGATATAGATATATAGATATATAGATATATAGATATATAGTTATATAGTTATATAGTTATATAGTTATATAATTACGGAGGCAAGATATCTAAACTAGAGTGTAAATAACTCTTTTCACAACCTACCTCCCAATGTTATCATTTGTTTCCAATATACACACATACCACCAATATTCCAGGCAGTGTGGCTTTCTCATTCATCCTCAAATACGTGATTATTCCTAGCTGTGTACTATCATTAAAAATAACTACCAGCACTTATTTAATATTAAAAATTTTCAAAGAACTCTGACCAAGTTCATTTTATTTGATTGTGAAACATCCCTATCAAAATAAATAAGGGTCACTGTATTTCCTTATTTATAGATGAGGAAACTGAGGTTTGGTTAGAGAAAGTGATTTAGCCTTGAACACTTGCCTAGCAATTAGCAAAATGGAAGCAAAAATGTAGGTTTAGAGCCCAGTGTTCTCCTGTATTTTAAGGGTATGGCTTCTCTTCATATAACCGAATTCTACCTATTCTTCAAGATCCTTCTCTTCCAACTTACCTTACTGTCTATCTCCATCCTCTTCAAAAAAAAAAAAAAATTATTCCCTTCTCTGAAGTCCCACTAATCACAGAGTCATCTCACTGCCCATTAATTTTTGTATTCATTGACAGTGTATTCTATGGCGTTACATAGTACTCTCTATGTATATTTCCTGGCTATTCTACTGTGCCACAAGCTTCTTGAGGTCTCCTCTGCTGTACCTTAGTACCCCCCTGGAGCACCAACCAGCTCTTTTGTTTTGCCTTTGTTCAAGCCTGCCTGATATCTCTTCATCTGCCTCCAGCCTTTGATATTCCTATCTTTGTTAACAGGGGCCTTGGGGCATGACCAATTTTCCATCACAGGTAGTCTTGGTAGCACTGTCAATCAAGGTCCTTTGCCCTCCCTTGGACAAGGGGTGTTCTTGTTCTGCACACTAGGCTAATTAGTTTCTCTTTCTAATTAGAATTGGAATCAAACATAGGGAGAGGAGGAGAAAAACGGTTGGAGCTAATACACCCAAAAGACAACTTCCTGAAAAGACTTTTGATTAATTCCTGCTCCTTGCATTCTCAAAGCTGCCATAGTTTCTGTTCTTTTAAAGGCCAAGTTCTTCCCCCTTTGTTCAGTTTCTGACTGAGCTACCTTATACCCTCCCATTAAATTCCTTTTTTTTTTTTTTTTTTGCTTATATTAGGCAGAGTCACTTTCTGTTGCTTGCAAAGAAAGAACCCTGTCTGATATAGTACCCACAAAGCTTAGTGCCTAGGGAGTGCTGAGTATTTTTAAATGTTCTGTTTTTATGCAGATTATATGTTATTATAAGCTGAAAACATAAACAATGTTGGTGCAACATTGCTATTGGTTAGAATGTTAATAACCAGCAGGCAAGCATAGGCCAAGCTAACACTGGGACCTCATCTGCATGGAAATGATTTTTATTACAATTCAGCCCCCTAGTTTGGTGACTCACAAAGTGATAATTCACTGCTGAAAATTAACAAAACATTTCCTGGTGAGGGTAGTACTTAGAGTAATGATACCCTTTAGTGATATTTGACATTTAGGTTAACCCCTCTGTTTTCCTTCTCTTCCCAAATATTGCAGGAGCCAACTGTGGCCATCTGAATTTTTAATATGACTTTACTACAAGATACATCTAATAAGTGTAACTGGCTCCTTTGTAGCTAGGTGAATATTTTAACATACTCTATAGCTTCTTGTGAAAAACGTTGAATTGCAGTTTTAAATTCACTGAGAAAGAAAATTACCATTAGAATAATTTAGGTGGTTGAATGGTATATTTAAAGCCTAATCAGTACTCTACAAAGAAAGTTCCCTACATTATTTTTTAAGAAAAAAATAACACTAAGAAAAATCAATCAAGTAGTATTTTATAATAAAACTGGAATTTAACAGCAATTCTAGCTAATCACACATCAGTACTTAGTTAATTAAGTTTTGAACAGATTATAAACTTAAGCTATTTCTATGTACTTCAGTAAATTTCTGTCATTTTACACATTTACATCTATTGAGAATCCTTTGTATTCAAGGAACGTTCCTAGACATTATGGGAATATCATGATATCATGCATATATATGATATTTCTCTTTCTTAATGACAAGATAAAAATCCTACTGAAAAATAGGGGGTGCATTTTAAAACATTCACCTCTTTCTCTTTTAGAACACCTATTAGTACATGATAGTATTTCCCACAAGATTATTTTTTATTTTACTTGAAGTTGGCAAATATCTCTGTGCTGAATCCTTTGAGCATCCCTCTAGTGATAGATGTCAGAGCAGCGTTGTGAGGAAGAACTTGTATTTGACAGGGAGATGACAGGAAAAAGCCTCTCTCCGAAATATAAGATGCAACTGTAAAATCCTTCTGTGAGATTAATATCATCTTTTGTTCCTGTGTATAAATGACTTATTCATTCTTGCTTAAAAAAATCTGTTCATGTAATTAATTTGAATAGTGTGAAATTAAGACACGTAAAGAGGTACATTTTACGAGTTTGTTTCAAATATTTTATATGAATTAAATTTGAAATAGGTATATAATACAAATTGCCAATGATATTTTTTTAACTTCTAATATTTCTATAATCATCAACCAAGAACACTTTAAGATTCACTCACTGTACATATAGCATGTACTCTAAACAAGTAGCATCTTGGAAAGAGATTATTTTATTATGAATATATGATATGCAATACAATGAAAAAGCCTTAAATATTTACTTTTGTCCTAAAAATCTGGCTATGATTTATTCCAGTTTACTAGAAGCACTGCCTTAGTCTCTCTGGCATTATAAAATAATTTCACATGTCCCCAAATATCACAAGAGGAAGGAATAAGACCTTTTTTGACAAATTTAACATTCTGGGTGTCTTCCTTTCTTTCTTCCCTTATATCCCTCAAAAATAAATCAGGAGCAAAAAGATAGATTTCCATTATATATCCTATTATCTACAAATGCTATTCTTTATGTCTGAGTTAGAACTACCAGAAGCAAATCATTTTTGATACATATTAAAATGCTTGTCCATATATATGTAATGCACATCTATTTAATGCATGAATAGAAAAGAAATTTATATCCATTCCTAGATCTAGGATTCTCCTTATAATATACTTCAAGAACTAACCAAAATTCTGCAATGTTTTCAGATGTGAGTGGAAAAAAAGGTGAAAGAACGGTGAGATGTCAAAGATAGATTGCTTGTTTTCAGATTTATTTTCATCTCTAGCTTTCTACAGGCCTTCACCTCAGTCTGTTCAGTTTTCTCTATAACAGACAGATCTTTTCTGAATAAGGTGGTTTGCTCTAGCCTAGAAAAGGACATACATAATCACTTTTGCACTTCTGTTTCTTTGTTTACTTTTCACAAGAATTAAAATCTCAAAAATACTATGTAATGGCCCAATCCAAACAATAAGACAATTATCACTTGATTTCTTAAAACTTTTTGTAAATGCACTAGATACATAGTATATGCTTAGTAACACAACACTATTCAACCATGAAGAGTATTATTTTCTTAGAGTAGAATAAGTAAAGCACATTTCAGATGTTTCTGGCTATTCACTGAATTTCATTCCTCAAATACTTTTTGGAGAGGCATAAAATACGTACAAAGAGATTGAAATTCAAGATTTCATCTATATTACAAAAGCAAATTTTATTGATCTACAAACTCTAGTAATATTTGATCAGAAAGAGTTTACAAAATAATTTGCACAGTCATTGAGATTTTAATGGAGTTGAAAATTTATTTATGTGTTTTAAAATATATATACATATATACATATACATATACATATATATATATATATATATATATATATATACATTTATTGATCTCAGAGAGGAGAGGAGAGGGAGAAATAGATAGAAATATCAATGATGAGAGAGATTCACCAATCAACTGCTTCCTGCACGCCCCCCAACTGGGGATTGAGCCCCCATGATCCCTGATTGGGATTCGAACCATGATCTCCTGGTTCTTAGGTCAATGCTCAACCACTGAGCAACACTGGCCAGATTATCTGTTTTTTGTTTTGTTTTCTTATATTTTTATTGATTTCAGAGAGGAAGGGAGAGGGAGAGATAGAAACATCAATGAGGAGAGAGAATCACAGATTGGTTGCCTCCTGCACACCCCCTAATGGGGATCGAGCCCATAACCCGGGCATGTGCCCTAGACCAGAATCAAACCTGGGACCCTTCAGTGGGCAGGCCAACACTCTGTCCACTGAGCCAAACCAGCGAGGGCTATTTATCTGTTTTAATTGATATATAATTCACATATCATAAAATTCACCCTTTTTAAAACATACATGTTTTGGTTGTTTACTACTGCTATTCAGAATGACCCCTCATAGAGGAGACTTGTAAATTAGCATTATAAAGTGTAATAAATAAAAATGTTATCTTACCTTACAAAGGAAGTTGATCTTAAAACCCAAGGACTGGGCATTTCTTGAGCCTGAGTTCATGTAGTTTCCAACCAAAAGAACTAACTCTAAAAGTCTGTTAAAGCTTTCACTTTTCTTCAGTTCTTCACAAGCAAGAGTTACTGCTATGATGCTTGGTTTGATGTTGTTTACATGTTCTTCAAAAGTGAGCTTGAAAAGAATGCTATTGAGACGAGGCCGCAACATTTTCACTGAGCTAATCTGTAAGATAAGAAATAGTCTGTTATTTCTCTCTCTAGTGGGGATAATTAAATAGACAATATTGTAAAATTTTGCATAAAATGAATTCTCCCTAGGTTTAAAAAATATTATTTTTGCTTGGTTTAAACATTCCAAAAGAATATTTGTATTAAAGTTTAAAAAGTAGTTGTTCAGTTTTAAACAAATTAAATCATCCTCAGAGCATTAAGATAATATTACTGAAGCTAAACTTTATGTTAATTGCATAATCATTAGTTATCAATAGCATTTAAACTGCCAAGAATCTGTCCTTGAGGTGAGCTATGAAAACTTACAAATATGAAATTGAGTTGAGTGAATAGTTGGGTCACATATAAAAGATGTACATAATGACAGAAAATATGAGTGGAATCACATTTCCTAAGAAATTACCTATTAGTATGCTGTTTGAAATCAGAGGACTAGCTCTGATAGAGCATTTAATAATTTTTAAACCTATGATTTCTGTTCACAAAATATATTAAATATTGATATATGGTCTAAAGAATTTCACAGAATGTTGATTTTAAATAATTATGTTTTGGTAAAATCACATGAACTTACTTTTCAGTACATTATTTAAGAATTCTATATTGGTTTTCTTCAAAACGTTCCCAGTTAGGTCTTAATTATTTGTGTCATAGTACTGGTGCATATTCTCTATTCCCTTTGGTATAGCTCCTATGATAATAACTTCTTTTAGTCTTTAACTACCTATAACTCCAAGTCATTTAACTAGTTTTCACTCACAAATAAATTCTGGGAGAGAGGTGAGGGAAAAGTAGATGCACATGAACATACACATGCACACACACAATGAACGTAAATTATTAACAATCCTAATTATATTTATTTTCTGCACATGTAGCTTAGTTTCCTGAATATAAATTCCTGGCCACAGTTTAGGCACTAAGATATCTGTAGCTAACAGGAAAAAAATGCGCAACATAAAAAGTCCTTAAACCACAAAGTACCCTTCAAAAGCATCAAATGAGCTGTTGAATAGGACACATCTGCTCTAATATGGAAGCAAGGCATAGTCCATTATTTTTCTTCTTTGAAATAAACTTGCCCATTAACTATGGTGTCTGCCTCACCAAAGATTAACCTTTGCCTTCTACCAATCCCCCTATATGCTTTCATGATTTTATAGAAAAACTAGAGGCCCAGTGCACAAAATTCATGCACTGGGGGTCCCTCAGCCCTGCCTGCACCCTTTCACATCCCAGGACCCCTCAGAGGATGTCCACCTGCCAGCTTAGAGGCAGTCAGACATCCCTCTCTCAGTCTGGGGCTCTCGGAGAATGGGACCCCTCACTCCTTACTACCCACCTGCAGCAGAGGTGAGAGAGGCTCTTGCCACTGCCGCTGTGCTCGCCAGCCATAAGCCTGACTTCTGGCGAAGCAGTGCTCCCTGTGTGAGAACACACTGACCGCCAGGAGGCAGTTCCTACATTGAACGTCTGCCTCCTTGGTGGTCAGTGCTTGTCATAGCGACCAGTCATTCCATAGGTCATTCTGCCATTCGGTTGATTTGTATATTAGGGTTTTATTATATAAGACTAGAGGCCCGGTGCACAAAAATTTGTGCACTCGGGGGAGAGGGGGGTCCCTCAGCCCAGCATGTGCCCTCTTGCAGTCTGGGACCCCTCGGGAGATAACGACCTGCTGGCTTAGGCCTGCTCCCGGGTGGCAGAGGGCAGGCCCAATCCCTAGGTGCAGCCCCTGGTCGGGCTCAGAGCAGGGCTGATTGGGGAGTTGGGGCGCCGCCCCCTGCCATGCAGAGCAGGGAGGATTGGGAGGTTGTGATGCCACCCTCAATCACGCTCAGGGTAGGGCCGATTGGGGGGTTGGGGCACCGCCCCCTGTCACACTCAAGGCAGGGTCAATGGGGAGGTTGCGGCGCCACCCCGTCACGCACAAAGCAGGGCCAATCAGGGGGTTGAGGTTCTGTACCCTGTCACGCACAGAGCAGGGTTATCAGGGGGTTGGAGAGCTCCCCCCTGTCACTCACAGAGTAGGGCCGATAGGGGAGTTGGGGCACCGCTCCCTGTCACACACAGAGCAGGGCGGATCAGGGGGTTGGGGCGCCGCCACTGTCAACACTCAAGGCAGGGCCAATGGGGAGGTTATGGCTCTACCCCCTCACACACAGAGCAGGGCCCATGGGCGGGGGTGGGGGGGTGCGCCGCACCATCACACACAAAGCAGGGCAGGGAAATCAGGGGGTTGTGGCCCCACCCCCTGTCACACACAGAGCCGCAGGGCAATCAGGGGGTTTGGGCGCTGCCTCCTGTCACGCTGATCCCAGTGCCAGGAGGCCTCGCGGCTCCGCTGATCCTGGTGCTGGGAGGCATATTACCCTTTTACTATATAGGATAGAGGCCTGGTGCATGGGTGGGGTCCGGCTGGTTTGCCCTGAAGGGTGTCCTGCATCAGGGTGGGGGTCCCCACTGGGGTGCCTGGCCAGCCTGGGTGAGGGGATGATGGCTGTTTGCAGCTGGTCACACAGCCTTCAGGGTGGGGGTTCCCACTGGGGTGCCTGGCCAGCCTGGGTGAGGGGATGATGGCTGTTTGCAGCTGATCACACACCCTTCAGGGTGGGGGACCCCACTGGGGTGCCTGGTCAGTCTGGTTGAGGGGTGAGGGCTGTTTTCAGGCTGGCGGGTTACTGAAGCTCTCAACTGCTCCTTTTTTTTCTTTTCTTTTTATTCTGGGCCAGCTTTAGCTCTGGCTCCAGCTCTGAGGCCTCTGGTGCTGAAAGCAGGTATCTGGTTTGTTTGTGTTCTATAATTGAAACACTGTATGAACTCCAGCTCTGAGATCCCAGCGGGCTGAAAGCAGGTTTCTGGGGTTTTGTTTAGCTTCTATATTTGTTACAATGTTTCCAACTGCAGGCTCAGAGGCCGGCAAGGCAGGCGGGGAACGTTGGTTTCCTCCGTCACTGAAGCAAGCAAGCTTCATGTTAGTTTCAAGCTGCCTGGCTGCCAGCAGCCATCTTGGCTGGCAGTTAATTTGCATATCGCCCCGATTAGCCAATGGGAAGGGTAGCAGACGTATGCTAATTACCATGTTTCTCTTTTATTAGATAGGATGTATCAAAGTATGCTGGGAATATCTGCCTATTACTACACTTATATAGGTCTTATCACTTATCACTAGCCTTTTTATATGATCAAGGTAATATTATATAAATCATCACACTGTTTCTTTAGTGCTCAGATTTTGGGTATAAGACATACCATCTTCTCAAAAAAGGTTCCAATAAAGCTTAAAACTCATAATCCAGTCACTTGAAAACTACAGCTAGTGATAAAACCAGCAGATGGCTCTAGGTGGGTAAACTGAAATTAAGTGCTGAAGATGTTCACTGAAGGAATAGAAAATTTTAAGCTCTTATGACTACAATGTTTAATGAAGGTTTCACAGTAGAGGAATGCAAATGGATAATAAACAAACAAGAGAAAGAAAGAGAGAAAGAGAGAGAGAGAGAGAGAGAGAGAGAGAGAGAGAGAGAGAACACAAACAAACTAACTGGGACCAAAAGGAAGATGTAGAAAGAATGGTTGTGAGAAAGGTTTATGATAGGGTAAGTATATATGAGGCATAAGACTAGGGGCAGAATTTAGACAAAAGTACCTGAAGAGCCCATGTAAAGGCCACAAAATGAGAAGATAACCACATAAAAGTCTATGTCTCCATATGAAGTGTAAATCTCCTTATGCATATTTCTGTGGGAATTTCCCTAAATTTTTCCATGTTTTTTTTCTGCCTTTACTTAGGCCTCTACCACTGCCTCCAAATTCCTCTGTATTTTTCCTTTCCTTTCACTGGTAACTGACCATCATTAGCACAGAAGCATGTTTTGTATCATTTTAGATATTTAGGGAGTAGTTTTTCAGTGTCCCTCATGGTTAAAAAAGTCAGATCTACTTTTTCCATGTGCTAGTCAGCATGTACCTACCTGCCCTTCTGGACATGCTTTATAGGGCTATTGGGACCCAGCTCACCAGGAGGGCCTTGGTCCCTAATCAACAAGGAATTTAAACCTGAGGCTGACATAGATTTTTAGTCTTACTACAGTTCTAATACCACTTGTCTTCATTCATATTTTTGTTGTTGTTAATCCTCACCCAAGGATAATTTTTCCATTGATTTTCAGAGAGAGAGGAAGGGAGAGAGAGGTAGGGAGAGAGAGAGATAGGGAGAGAGAGAGAAGAGAAGGAAAGGGAAGGGAAGGAAAGAGAAGAGGAGAGGGGAGGGGAGAGGAGGAGACAGGAGAGGAGGGGAGGAGAGAGAAGAGGAGAGGAGAAACATTAATGTGAGAGAGACACATCGATTGGTTGCCTCATGCACACACCCTGACTGGGGCTGGGGATTGAACCTGCAACCCAGACACATGCCCTTGACCAGGAATAGAACCTATGAACCTTCAAGGCAAGGGCCAATACTCTAACCACTGAGCACACCAGCCAGGGCTTCTTCCATACTTCCATCCATTCAGAGCTTTGTATTTCAATCTTTGGCCTAACAAACCCAAAGAGCATGGATCTGATCGGTTTCAAACTGAAATAATATGACCAAAAATGGACTTTAATAATAATAGTACCAACAATAATAACAGTGATTGACATTTATTGAGTACTTTGTGCAAGATGCTTTTTTACATAGCATTTTATTATATACTATAGGCCCGGTGCATGAATTCGTGCACAGGTTGGGTCCCCTGGCCTGGCTGGCGATGGGGGCTGATTGGGGCTGCTGGACATTGGCCAGGGGGAGGGGCTGTGGGAGGTTCTGATTGGGGCCATCGGGGCTGGCTGTCCAAGGGGAGGGGCTGCGGGAGGTCAGCTGACAGCGGGAGGTTAGCTATGGGAGCACACTGACCACCAGGGGGCAGCTCCTGCATTGAACATCTGCCCCCAAGTGGTCAGTGCGCATCATAGCAACCAGTCGACTGGTCGTTTGGTTGCTTAGGCTTT